GTGATCATGTCACACAGCCACCTGCAGCTCTCACATGACACAGAAAAGCTACTTTCTCTGAGGACTGAGCACAGAAGGGCTCAGAAAGCTGAGCACAGAAAGCTGTCTGCAATTCTTGGTTGGGAACTCTGAGGAAGCAAAAAAGGGCATGAGACCATCTGGTCGCAGGGACTGGGGCTGCCCTTCTCAAGGGCCACTTCAAGCCTCCACATCCCAGAAGATTAGAACTTGTGGCCAGACGGCCTCCCTCACATCAGGCTGAGTCAGGGCCAGAGCAAGAGTTCGATGACTCACACATGGGCATTCACCATGACCCCAGAACTCCCCCGGCAGGTCTCCCGGGGTGCTGCTGTGTGGGTTCACGCTGCACCTCCGAGTACAGGAACAAGCGTCAACTGGTCCTGGAGATGGCCTGGCTTCCGTACCAGAAATCCACGTGACTAAGAGCCTAACCATAGGAGAGTAGCAACAAATCCCATGGAGGAGAACACAGCTGTGCCTCACTTTCCAGAAGCCTTGCTGACCAGTGCCCCCCGTGTCTCCACCCCGCTCCCCAGAAGAGGCGGGATGGCTCTTCTTAGGGCAAGCAGGAAAGAATGCGCCCTCTTTGCCTTCTCTCCTCACTCCTGATGGCGCAAGGCAGGAAGCCCTGGCAGGGAGGGGGACACAGAGCAGAGGAACAGGAAAATGATGCTCAGAACCCATCACTGTTACGAGAGCCCCACTCATACCCAATGGCCGTCCACACACGGTTAATCCGGAGCCCTAACACCCGGGGAGCAGGTGTGCCCACTCACGTTCTGTCGGGCCATCCGAGCTACCCAACGCTGGACCAGAGGCCCAGGGGAGCTCCTGCGGGCACAGGCTCCCAGGATGGCTCCATCATGCCAAAAGACAGGTAAAAACCCCAAAGGCCACACGGGGCAGCAAGGCCCCATGCAGCTTACCTGTCACCCTGGTGACAGATGAGCCGTCAGGCCGAACCCAGTAGGTGCTAATATTCCCATTTACTGGTGCAGATGTGCTTGCAATTACGCTCTGCCAAAGGGCAGCGAGCACCGGCTTCAGGACCCGGACGTAATTTTGGCTTGCTGAGTTCGTTAGTCTCTGGCCCCTCCTGACCTGGTCTCAGATGGCTCCCGAATGCCTAGCTCCTGCAGAGGGCACGCTCAGCGTTTTCTCTAAGCGCCTGGCCTCCTGGCCGCCAGGGGCAAGGAGCCCGATGCCAGAGATGTAGCTCTGGATGAGCCGGCCAGTCAGAACGAACGGGACAGCTGACCCTGCGCTCTGACCTCTGCGGGCCTCAAGGGGAGGCTGCAGGACAGCCAGGAGGCGAGGAGCCCAGCCTTTGGTACCAAGATGTGGACTCAGAACTTCAGCCTACCTCACTCCATGCAAGACCGCCCTCTCCACACCTGAAGATAGAGGCACTGTGGCCAGCCTCACGCGGTCCAGAGGGTAACACAGTACTAAGCGTGGAGGACCTGGCCCAGAGTTAGTGTCTCTTATCATAACTACTGGGGGACACGCAGGCTTTCTAGGTCCCACTCCAGCAACCTAGATTTTCTGGTTAACACCTGTCACTTGAGTTTTGCTTTCGTTTTCTGAAGACAGGGTTTGAAAAAATGGGTCTGTCGTGTTACTGATCAGTGACTTTGACAATATTCCCCCACGCCCTTCAAATGAGATCATTTTCATTTTAAAAGCCTGGACTCCAGCACTTTTATTATTGGCAGCTTTGTTTGAATATCGTGTGGATAAATGTTAAAGCGGCACCCCAGCCTGGCCAGATTACTATCCACAGGAAGCCGTCACTTGGGCTCTGCACCCTCTACTCTGCCCACGTCCTCCCGCGCCAAGCCTGCCCGGGCAGAAGACGCTCCTGACTTTGGTTTTGGAGAGCATGAGGGCCACTGCCCTCTGAGTCACCCACAAAAGGGCGTGGAGGGGTCTTCTGACGTCCGCTGCCACCACCAAGGTGGGCCCTGGCCCTGATAAACTGACGGCAGGAGCCCACACTGCCTGACAAGACGCAGCCCTGGGCCACTTTGGGTGTTTGTGATGCAGGCAGGCCCTTTCTCCTCCATTTGTGCCAGAACACCAGGCCTCGGAAGCTCGTAGTATGTGGCACTAGCTTTGAGGTCAGAGTCTGGGGTTCCCCCCGGAGCTGTGCCCCAGGCCAGTCCAGAAGCCCCAGCAGGCCATCTTTCCCACCAGTGACTTAGGTGCAGCCAGACTGTGTGTCTGCCTGAAGGGCCTTTCAGGTTCCAAGATCCTGCTTCTTTGATTTAAACAAAATGCAGGGAGAAAAAGAAGAGAAGATTACATATAGAGATTTTGAGCTTTTTTTTTTTTTTTCCTGTAGGAAAGTTGATCGTTGGATAGTTGGCACCAGCTTGGTTAGAGACATTTTATCTAGATTTGGTTATGAAATGCACTTGCAAAATCAGGGTTCTCCGGACTGAAGAGTGAGTGTGCAGAGCTCTCACGGTCCCCGTGGCTCAAAGGAGCCATCTTCTCAGGGAGTTGCTACTTGGGGAAATGCAATCGGGTCACTAAAACCATTGAAAAATGGGCAGGGAAGGCCTACGTGGTTCTTGAGAGCTTTTGATATGAATTGTGTTTATGAAGGATACGATTTTTAAAAGGTCTTTAAACACAATATCATGACCTTAGCAAAAACTATTTTTTCAAATGGACACACTTTCCCCGCCCCCCCCCCAAGCTGGTTCTCAAATGCCAGCTCACAGGAGAGTGGTGCAATGGAAACCCCGCTACCAGACCACACTACAGACGGCACCCCTCAAGGGGAACAAGGGAAGGTCGAGCTCGCCCATGCCGGATCAGAACACACGCGTTTGTGTTTCTAACTCACACAAACGCGTACAAGCCTTCCAATAAACCCAAACTTCAGAGTTTCGTTACTCAATACCACCCCCATAAAAATAAAAAATGTAACCTCACTACTTTTAAGTCAGGCAAAAACCACAAACCCGTTAAGTGCACAAGGGAAGGAAATGGCCAGTGCGCCAGACATGGCTCTGCCTGCAGGGATAAGGCTGCTCATCTGTAGACGTAAGGGGACACTTTTACAGCTAAAAGGTACACTAAATAATCAAAGCTTGATGAAAATCGCCAGGAAGCTCCGTCCTTTCCCCTATCTAGGATCTGATTCTGCCCATCTGGTCTGTGTCAACTGCCTGTTTCAAGAGCTTCCCCGGTGCTCAGAATGCCACCTGTACACTCGGGGAAGAAGAAAATCGGGGAAGTAAAAAAAAAAAAAAAAAAAACCCAGGAAGATAGGCTTCCCCTCCTCCCAGGTTTGTGTACTGATAGATACCCATCCAATTCAGTCCCAGGGCAGAGTCCACACAGGGAGGGAAAATGCTGGGAGGGTCAAAGGGACCCCATGAGTCCAACACATCTGGGAAATAGTAACAGAAGAAAGTGCGGTTGCTTTCCGTAGTTGGGGTACATACCAGGGCGCCCCCTTTCCTCTGGGAGGGCCCCCAGGCCTCCTTTCTGACCAACCCCGTTCAGGATCACAGCTCCCCACCCCGCCCCCTAAGAGTGCCAGTGAAAGGAGAAGCGTGCAGGGACCACCCCAACAGTTCGATACGGAGAGAACGCTCCCCAGTAGCCAGACTCGGCCCAAACCCGCAGCGCCCCCCAGCCCCCAGGCCTCGGGCTCCCTTCTCGGGACCGGGCGAGGCAGCCCCTCACACCCCTCACCTCCTGGGGCCGGCCAGGCTGGGGGGGGGGGGGTAGGGGTAGGGGGGCGGCTCACGACCTGGGTGCCGAAGCACGGGCCCGAGAACCCACCCGGAGCCCTGGCGGGGAGGCGGCGACAAGGGCAGGCCGGGTTTCGGGGAGCCCCGGGTCGGGAAGGCGACGAGCCCCGGAGGGGAATGCCCCGGTTGGGGGAGGGGGCGCGATTCTCCGGCGGGCTCGGGAGGGGTGAGGACGCGGCGCAGACCCAGGGGCGGCCCTCGGGGGCCGGGGGCCCGACTCTGGGAGCGCAGAGGGCTCGGGGCCGAGGCCCGGAGGGGGAGTCGGAGGGGACGCGCGGGAGGGGCCTCGGGGCCGGGGCAGGAGGCCCGATCGGGCCGCAGGCCGCACCTGGTCGGCGAAGTCCTCGGCCGTGCCCATCAGGTCGTTCTGGCCCATGGCGGCGGCGGGAGGCTCGGCTCGCTCGCTCCCTCGCTCGCTCGCTCGGCGCTCGGCCCGTCGGCGCCCGCGCCCGCTGCGGCCTCCACAGGAAGTGCCCGGCGGCCGGCCTCGCTCCTCGTCCGCGGCTCCAGCGGCTGCCACGTAGGCCAAGCCTTAAAGGGGCCGCGCCGGCGGACCCGCCCCGACCGCGCCTTAAAGGGGCCGCGCGCCGCCCGCCGCCGCCCCGTCCGCCGCGC